ATATTAACTTTGGCATTGCAATATATTTATGAAAATGTAATGTATGTACATAAAAACATAAATAGCTTTAATAAGAATAAGGATGTGCATACTTTAAACACTAGGAACAAACATAAGTTTGTAATACCAGTTACTAGATTCCACAGAATCAGTAATTCATTTATGGGGCAATGTATACGCTTTTACAACAAAATCCCAGAACATATTCAAAGTTTGTCAATAAACAAGTTTAAAAGTTTAAAGTTTAAATATCAAGGAATACATGAATGAAAATAACCCCTGGGAATAAGGTGATCGCCACCATGCTGGTTCTATGAAAAATTATTTAAAAATTGTATAAACGAAATTATGTTTGAAAAATAAAAGTCCCGCTGGGTTTCTTGTTGGTTCTTCCCAGGACAGAGGTATTTTCCGAACCAGTGGTAGATAAAAAATGACTTTCAATAAGAATTATGTAATAATCGATATTGAATAAAAAATTATTCTATTCTATTATATTCACGGAAAGTCCATTGTGACGTAGTAAGGAGAAAAGATGCAAAGTAATACGGACACTCGCGCGCAGCGATAAAGTTTTATTTAACTTGCGTGCGCGATTTATTTAATTAATAATAACTATGTAGGCTATTAAAACGTCGGCAAGCAGTCAACATGAAAAGAGTGCAACTTCTGTACGTTAGTACTATTATTTATTCTGTTTCCCTACCCGTTTCTTAGAAAAAGGGTCTTGGCAGACGAATAGACAGACCGATGGACGGATATTTTCAAAAAGTATTAGTTGTCTCAAACTATCTTCTTTTACAAAGTAAATATATAATAACTGTATTACTTATAACCACTAGCTGTGCCCATGATTTCATACGCGCAAAAATGTATCATATATGCACCCCACCAAAAGTAATAAATGAAACTCTTGTGTATTTTATAATAAGTGCTTATATTTATTAATCTTAGATAGCCATATTTGTTCCATAACCCTCTTTGAAATGAGAGAAGGCCTGTGCCCAGAGGTGGGACGTATAAAGGCTGTTACCGTTACCGTTAGTACCGCAGTGAACTTTGATAGGATGATCAAAGTTCACTGCAGCACCACATATGCCCATCCCATAGATTGCCTCAGACGTATTTGCCATAGTTGTAATTAAGAAGACGCTGCGCCTCTTACGAAACCCACGATACGATATAGGGTAGTGGAGATTCTTACACCGCCCCTACACTGTGATATTTAGGCTGTAACTCTCCTTTTTTAACATTTATATAGTAAAATAAATTTTAATTAATAAATAATTTAATACGCGTAGGTTTATATAAATGAAGAACTATTGAACAGATGAAGTAAAAATCGATTTAACTTTAAACATATTTGCGAAACCTGCGAAAAAAGTTAGCATTTCTCAAAAGATAATTGGGCTCTTTTATCAACAGACTTCAAAAAAATGAGGAGGTTCTCAATTCGACTGTATTTTTTTGTGTTACCTAAGAACTTTTTTCTAGGTGAACCCATTGGTCCCATATAAATTTGATCAAGATTTGACTATTAGTTTTTAAGTTATCCTCAATAATGCGTATATAATTCACGTAGACTACATTGATGATGTTCTCATTCTATTTATATTGAAGTCGGTTGTACAAAATTTTTAATTTTACCACTTGTTAGTTTATCATTTTAGTTTCAAGAAAAACAATTACAGTAATGATGCCCTATGGACAATGATGGAAGCAGAGCCATAATTTATTGTGGCGCTAACATGCGACAGCGCTACGTAGAATAGATACTGAAGTCCACACCAGCCATACTCAGCCCTGCGTATTTTTGCTGGTCATAACGTAGCATGTTCAGCTAATTGGAGGGTACTTTAGTACTTTTAAAAAATTAGCAATCTTATACAACCTACACCATTAAAAAAATTAAAATAACATTACCTACATAACAAAATCACTTGAAAAATCTGACTGACAGACAATAAGGACTCTCAGTATACATGGTATGTTCTATGTGTATTATTTATGATGTCGACTATTTTCTTCTATTTTTAATAAGGATTTGAAAAGGATTATTATATAACATACAACCAACATTTTACAATTGTGCACTATTTTCAAAGTGTTAGCTGTTAGCTGGGGGCTAAGAGCTCGCTGTTTTCACAGTACTCGAGCCACCTGGGCCCGATCCCCGCCGGCACCAATTAAACTGTTATTTGCAATTTTAAGTGCTGATTTACCACGTGCTCGGCGGTGAAGGAAAACATCGTGAGGAAACCTGCATGTCTGAGAATTAAGAAAAAAAATATTTCGAAGACATATGGAGTTCGGTAACCACGCATTGGGACAGTGCGGCAGACATTTCGTTGCTATAAAAGTAAAACCCTCTGGGAAATGAGAGGCCTGTATCTAGCAGTTGACGCATGTAAGCTGTAAAGCTTCTTCCAACTTGTGCACGCGTCACGTAAATACTCTGCGACTATCTCATATTCTGATCCTCTTTTTCTTATTGGCGCGTAAAAATCTATTGCTGGACATAGATCTCTGTCGTACTAGGGAGGATTGCGATCACAGTTTCATATGTCCGTCTCGCATCTCTTAGGATCAATTTAGATTGCGGCGGAACGGAAGCGTCAATTTCGCCTCGTCGCGGGAGAAGGCGCGCGAATTCGCGAAAATGCTCGAACATTCCCGCGGCTGCTCCTTGAGGCTATAGAGGGCGTTCAGTTATTTAGTCGAAATATTTTATTTGACATAAATAGTTGATTGGATATTATTTTTATATTGCTTATTTGTGAGACAGAAGAAGAAAACGATGAGAAAAAGGAGAATATCAGAAAAAGATAAAGAAATATTTGGGTTCATGATTTATGGAAGAAACGGCAACGTCACGATAACGCCACACGCGGATTCCACACGCTGCGCCGACAGTAGCTACGGAAATTGTCGAGAATGTGCGAGAATTCACCGGAAGACGCGCGACTTCTTTTTTAGCTGATATCTAGTTTGAACGTTACACAATTAACATAAAACTCATTTTACTATGGACAATTTCGTTAATGACGATTAATTTAATTCAAGCAAATTTATGTTGCAGAGGTGAACGGCATAGTCGGGAAGGGTCGTCCTAGGCGAAAGTTTATCGACCAAATTGGCGATATATTAAAAATGGCCCAAATCAAGAGTACCTTTAACCGACGAGCGTGTATGCGTAGGTATATGGATGTGGAGGAAGCGAGAGAGGTGTGTCAGGATCGTGCCAAATTGAAGTCCATAATCTCTGCCTACCCCTCTGGGTGACAGGCGTGAGTGTTTATGTTATTTTTTTTATGTTAATTTCGTTACAAAAATTCGCTTCCATTTCGTTCCTCTGCTGCTCGTCGCAGGTCTGGGTATTTTACGTCTGCCGTGCCATAAATAAGATGGGTTTACCGCCCTCTGTTTATATACATATGCCATAACACATAACATATTTATGCCATAAGATTTTTCTGCCATTTCTCATAGTTGCCTCTTATGACATCCACGCGACGAAATTGGGTGATGGATTCCCTTACGCTGCCACTACATGGCAAACACCGTCATCTGTTATACTAATTACATTTATTTTATTTGGAATACAAATGTTAACTTCAAAATTGACTTAGGTATCTTTTTATCAACCGACTTCAAAAAAAGGAGAAGGTTCTCAATTAGACTGTATTTTTTATGTATGTTAACTCGTAAACTTTTTTCTAGGTGAACTGATTTTTATGATTCTTTTTTTATCAAGATCTGACTAGTAGTTTTTGAGTTATCCTTAATAATGCGTATTTAATTGACTTCGACTACGTTGATGATGTTCTCATTATATTTATATTGAAGTCCGTTGTACAATTCTTTTTAATTTTACCACTTGTTTGTCAACCAACTTAAATGCAACAAACACTAAATGTTAGCCCAAGCTTATGTCAATACATCCATGAAAACTAGTAACCTACATCCAAATTTGGTTCAGCCATTAGCGAGCACCGTGCACAAACGTAAAGACAAGCAGACAAAAAACTGCTTACGATTTTTTTTTACACTATTTTACTACGATTTTTTTTATATTGGTTTTAATTATAATATACAATTAGGTTAGGGCTTAAGATCACGATTACAAAATAAAGATGTGAAACTAAGTCCAAAAATATAATATAGGAACTAGTTGTTCCCCACGACTTCGTCCGAGTGGAATTATTAAGATTGGATTTCATGGGTTTTAATTTTTTGCGCGGAACCCTAATTCTTATTCTAAAATAAATGTTGCCTAAGTTATTTATCATAACATCGGCTATGTGCTAGTGAAAATCGCGTTAAAACCGGTCCAGCGATTTCGGAGATTAGCCGAAACAAACAGACAGACAACCAAAATTTCAATATTGTTCTTTTTTTGTCACAAGTATGTACCTTCATATACATTTAGTAAAAAGCTGCTGTTTTGACATTACAGACACTTCAATTTTATTTATTTGTATCGAGATCAAGATCAGCTTTTTATAGAAAAATAATTTTGACGTAACATTAAAGATACGAGCATTTATTTTTTCAATAGCTCCAAATTACACTAATGATATAAAGTTGTCAGAATGATGACTGATATTTTGGATCAGTGCTAATCAATATGTATATTAGATTATTAGATCGCCCATATTAAGAGTCCAGCAAACTTGAGCTCAGAAAACTTGTAATAAAAAGAAACAACTACCTTACTATAGAATTGCTTTTTTTAAATTATTGTGGGTAGGTAATAAAAAGTACGACAAAATGATATATTTATAATATATCAATATAATTTACGAAGAGATACTTTTCTAAATTACTCATACGCATGTATAAGAACTACTCTGCAGAGTGCAGAATAATAGCCTTAGTATCTTTTTATTTAAATAGACAGGAATCAGCCACATCTCAGTATCACTAATTAAATGTACATTTTATTATTTTACTAAATGCATAAATTTACTATCTATATATTAATAAAATATATCACTTACCAGTGGATTGTAATGCCAACAACACAAACAAACTGTAAACTAAAGCTTTTGTCATATTGCTTAGAACACTGAAAGAAACTACTGAGTTTTAAAATTATAAATATTTCATTAGTCCGCGCTTAAAAACTGAAAGTCTTAGTAAACAACTGATAACGTAATGATATATTCTAAGATTGTACAAATTGAATTTAAAATAGCAATAAAGTTTTATATTTGACGTGTTTCAATACGTAATCAATTTGCTGCACGCGACACGTACTCACTTAACCGTTTCATAAGTTCAACTAGTAAAATAGAATGATTTTGACAGCAACAAACTTTGAATACGTACGAAAGAGAATGTATGATAAAAACGAGAAGGAATATGAATGAAACTCAGTAATATCCTTGTTCAGGAATGAATGGAATATTTGCAGCCAATACAAATGTATGCGTTCAAAAACTAAGTTTTACAAATTTTACATTTTATAAATAATTCCTTCGTAAAAAATAATGATAATGCTGAATAAAATTAGACATCAATTTAAAATTAACAAAAACCATTCCCCAATGGGCAATCACTAACTAATGCCTCGCTTTTAGTTGCATTTTCTAACTATTATGTAAAATCTGTAGCTATTTTTGCAATGATTTGGGCATTGTCAAATTACCACTAATAAGATGCGTAGAGACTATACTTCTAAGTCAGTGGTAGAAACCTCTCACTCTCAATAGTCTGTGCTTATAAATGACAGCAGCAGGCAGCATAACATAGATTTTCATTTTCTAATGTCACAATCACATCTGAAAAATAAAATAACCTAAAAGGAATACTGTTCAATATTATAATATTGTTTCCCGGCTTCTATGTGACACTTAAAATGTGTGTGCTGTGCGACACAAATACAGATGGGATGATTTGTATGTATATCTAAGCGATTTGATATCTCTCTATGCAGTTATAATATATTTTTGTTTTTAAATTGGAATAGTCTTAAAAATGTTTCGGAATATGTTTAGAACTATACGGCCTACTTTTAGTAATGTTCTGTTGCGATGGAAAAGTTCTGGTACAGAAAAAAAAGTTACAATGTATGATCCCTTCGTTACGAAGCCGAAAAAAAATAAGGAGACATATTTAGAAGTTATAAAAATGTTCGAGGGTAACGATATTCGGCGAAGAGGACACGTAGAATTTATATATGCCGCCTTAGCCCGCATGAAAGAATTTGGTGTACAAAAAGACTTGGAAGTGTATAAAGCTCTGGTAGATGTCTTACCGAAGGGAAAATTCATACCTACAAATATTTTTCAAGCCGAATTCATGCATTACCCAAAACAGCAACAATGTGCAGTTGATTTGTTGGAACAAATGGAAGATAATGGTAAAAATGATACTGTTTGCTTAATATTAATTAAGTAATTTTTACACATTCTTTATTTTATTAATTCTTGGTAAATTTGATACAAAAATCTTATACAGGTACTATAAAATGTGAACAAATAATAACAACTTTTATCATTAGGTGTAATGCCTGATTATGAAATGGAACAAATGTTGTTAAACATTTTTGGTAGACGTGGAATACCTTTGCGTAAATTTTGGCGTATGATGTACTGGATGCCTAAATTTAAAAATCTTAGTCCATGGTACTTACCGGATCAACTACCTAATGACACACTGGAGTTAGCAAAGCTTGCAATACAAAGAATAACAAGTGTGGATCCAGATACTCAAATAAGTGTATGGCAGGTGTGTAATGGAACTATCATTATGAATTAATATTTTTGTTATAATATTAAATGGGTTGTTCAAAAAAAGGAGCAACATTTGGAAAGGAAACTTCTTTAGCGTAACTTAGTTTTTCAGATAGAAGTAACATTTAGTAACATCTTCAGTCTGATTGAAGAGTTTATGCATTTAATAATGGAGACTTTTTTTTTTTATAGAATAAGGTTGACAAACGAGCACACAGTCTACCTCATGGGAAGTGGATGCTGTGGCCTATAGACATCTACATTTATCCCCAATTAAGAATCAAAATGCAGATGCGCCGCCACACCTGAGTACTGAAATGGAATGCCTTGTTTCCAGTAAAAAGGATCTCCGGTTCTTCTAGGAGCTGCTTTTATGCTAGTATTCTGTGAGATTGTGGTTCTACCCTGGTTGTGCTGACCCATTCGTGCTGCAACCACAATATAGCTGTAGCATGGCTCTACCACATATACTGATTAAAAGTATACAATTTTAAGATATACAATATACTTAAACTTATTTCCATTGTATTTTCATATTGTTAACTACATGATAATATTATAAGTATTTTATTTGGTAATACTTCCTTAAGAACTCAATTTTTTTAATAAATAATTATAAAAATAAATAAATCATCATCAATACAGGCCAATTCCAACAAGTCCACTGCTTAACATAGGCCACCCCTAAGGAATACCCCAAAGTATGGTCCTGAGCCACCTGAATCCATCAACTTCCTGCATTGTTTACTAGGAATTTCTCTCTGTTATGGACTTTGTAATAAAGGTATCCACAATAAGAACTAACAGCTGATGGGGAAGAAAGGTACTCGGGTGGCCGCCATATACTAGAAAGCGAAGTATAGGGTGGCTACCCACTTGATGGCGTGATGACCTGGTACAAGAATAAATTCAGAACAGAATTAGAGTTTAATGATTTCATAATTTAATCAGAAGATGATTTCATAATTTAACTCATCTAATAAACTAGATAATAAAAAAAAACCCCAAGTAGACCTGGGATGAAAAGGAACTGCAAGACGGCTAGTACTGCAATCACAGATCTGCATGCTAAGTGCGTAATAATGACAGAATTTGCTGAATTATGGACGGAGCCCATGTGGCTTCATGAAAGAGGATTTCTTTATCTAAATGTTGATAATCCAAATCCATAAATATATTATAAATTAATAATTTTATTTGATTACAATAAAATTATAATTTTTTTATAATTTATTAGTATGTTATATATTTAAAGTTTTTACTATCTAACAAAACAACTTTTTGAATTAACTCTTTTTGTCAGACAGAAGAGATAGAAGCATCATTAGACAAGACTTGGATTGTAAGTGCACAGAGTAGAATACAGCAAGTTTTGCTGGCTGAGCAACCTCCAGATGACCCATTAATTGTTAAAGGCCCCTACATTGTTTACTTGAAAGATCAAGTTGTGTCTTACTTCTTACTGGTTGGTAAAATCAGACCGGAACACAATGATGACAAAGATCTTGATGGTATAGTACTCACTTTTGATAATATGATATTTTGATGATATAATATTTTTAAGAAAAAACTTTTGCAGTGAAAACTTCTTTAGCCACGTTGAACGATTTTTGATAGGGGAAAAACTTATGGGTTCGCATCACCGATGACCTCGACATGCTCGTGATGTATTGCGCGCAAGCGTATGCATGTCAACGACGCGACATATACTATAGTGGCCTGTGTACATGTATACGCATATATCTTTGAGATTTCATTTCTGTCAGCAGTCAGATTTATTCAAGGTGGTTTTAGGTATAAGAACTGCTCAATAGTTGGACATTCTTCCAAATTATGAAGTAAAATTATAAAAACTCAAACCCAAATTTGAGGAATGCTAGCATTGTAAGCATTAAAATTGACTAACCGAAAATTTAAATTTGTCTTCAAACATTGTTAATCCGTTAGTTGCCGTGTCAGTCACTTTGTACAGAGTATTGCATATAAAACATGACTGACGGCAGTGTGTGTTAGTTATATAGAGTTTTATCGATCTATGGTTTCAGAATTTTTTTAAAGGATTATTTATATTCAAAGAATACCAATGTAAAATAGCAGCTTAATGCTGCTGTGTTTCGTATGGTGAGTGTAGAGAACAGGAGACCCATTTTACTGGAAAAGAGTCATTCTATCTTAGTCCTCACGGCTGACAACGCATTTGCATTTTAATTCGCAAACAAAGATAGATGTAGATGTCTATGGGCCACAGCAACCACTTACCATCAGGTGGACTGTGTGTTTGTTTGTCACCCTTATTCTATATAAAAAAAATATTATTAGGTCACATATTTATCATAAGGTCTCTTAAAATTTTCTTAAACCATAGTTTCAACCCGTAATAAATAATAAACGGTTTGGTAAGACAGTAATAAGATTGCTTCATTAGCTATGGGAAGATGAAGAAAAAAAAAGGCGAGCATTTCGAACTAAACTTTATTAATATACTTAAAACTTCTAGTAGTGTTAATTTTAGTTAAAGAAAAAAGAATATAAAAATATAAGAAAAAAAGACATATCTTTATCATAAATTACTATACTAATTTTTATAGTTTATTTTTAATTACAATTATTTTTCAGATGTTTCCAATATTGAAAAGCCTCCTGGTATACCTGGTTTTATTGGTAATACAAAGTTACCAGCTATTAAATGCACAGTGCATGAACAAGATGATGGTACAATTGTCTCAGTTTGTGCTACAGGTAATATTTATTTATAATCATAATCATAAGTATGTAATATTCCATTCCTATTAAACATAATAATATTCGCCACCTTGCTTGCCTGTTTGCTTGGTGTCGACAGGATCCTCTTCAAACTCAGTAAGTAGCACATGCTGATGCTGGAATACGTCGCATGCATTAGATAAAAAAATATCAACACACACATTACGAGCATGTTTTAGAGTGAAAAGGAAAAGAAATCAGAGGGTTTGCGTATAGCGATGTACTGCCATATTTTCTGAGCTGGAGATATCCATTCCTTTTACGGAACAAACAAGCAGGCCTGGCAAACCGAGTATGGTATCATGTGTTCGAAAATATGTCATGAAGCCGAAGTAGTCATCTCTGCAAACGGATTAATCCCAGTCAGTCTTCCGGGTCATCTAAAGCGACTGGAAGTCAGTGATTGAGGGCACCAGGCTCTAATGCAGAAGGTGGTGCTTCTCAATACCGCCTGCATCTTCTGCGATTTTTGTCTCTTTTCTCCTAATCTTTATCCATTTGGTCTCAGCTGCTGACGACTTCTGTCTGGTTGGGGTTTATCTATATATTTAATTACATATTATAGTTTATTTCTTATTATATTCTATTATATATAAATTTTATAATTATTTAATTATGATGTTAATAATTAATTAGCTAAAGTCCAGGTGATAATTTTATTAAATAAAATTTGATTACACATATCTTAGATAGTTAATTTTTAACATCATTAATATAATGTATTTCCTCAAAGTAAAGCTTGATTCTATTAATTATTTAATTTTATGCAACCAAACCAGACGAGAAGGAAATTATATTCATAACTAGCTGTGCCCCGCGGTTTCACCCGCGTCATCACGTG